AAGGATCCCACAAAATCCAGTCTGGTTAAACTCAAGATGGATCAATCTTAATTATGGAGCTTTCGTGACTGCAGGAATTATTCTTTGGTTCTTTCGGTTAAGTCACGTCTAAAGATAAAATAATAAATTAAAATAAAAGCATATTACGACGTTTCGATTGCAACACAAGCAATCATCATCAGGCAAAAAAAGAAATAGCAACAGAAATCTAACTAGAAAACTATAGACAGACATACAGGCAGACAGACATCACAAGGACACACAGAGAGAGGACACATCTTGGCACAAAGAGAGGGGTCGTTTCTGTGACGGTCCCTTAAATATAGAGAGGGGGGCAGGGACGGAGAGAGGGAGGGGGCAGATAAAAAAACGACCTCTCTTTGTGCCGATATGTGTCCTCTCTCTGTGTGTCCTTGTGATGTCTGTCTGCCTGTATGTCTGTCTACAGTTTTCTAGTTAGATTTTTGTTGCTATTTCTTTTTTTGCCTGATGATGATTGCTTGTGTTGCAATCGAAACGTCGTAATATGCTTTTATTTTAATTTATTATTTTATCTTTAGACGTGACTTAACCGAAAGAACCAAAGAATCAAGATGGATCATTGGCACGTATACAAACATGTTAAATGTATAACTTATACAGTAATTATTTATACAATTTAGCAATGTTTTAGCATTTGTCTACCTTGTTTTTTGGAAATAGGAGTATTATAATCTAGATTTAATAGGAGTATTATAATGATACATAGGATGCATTCATATAACGGTACACAATGTCTTTGATAACAGTGGACGATTGTGGCTTCAAAGTTATTTTGAAATATATATTTTAATCCCAGACTGCTTTCAATAATATCCTTATGTATACATACTCTGAAGTTGTGTCCATTTGTATACCTCAAGAGTATAACCTCTATGCCAACTTGCATGAATTGGTATCGAATCAGAATTTGTATTTAGACTGGAGGGATCCTATGAGCTATGAAGCTCTTCATCACAGATGTCAAGTGTAGAGAGTTCTGTATATATGACCTATGCACTAGTACATTCGGTGCAACGTGCCTTGTAGCATCATTCAAATGTTCGCATTTCACACCCTTGACAATTGGTCTCAGATGCCTAAAGAATAATTTCCAAAAGCCAGATGAACAATTACATTGCCTTTAACAATGTGCAGACATGTACAGGAAAACAATTGCAAACACATGTAGGGTTTATAACATATTTATCTGCTGAACGTTGTATATTATCTCACTTTTCATACTCTCCAAAGAGACTAAATCATACGTTATCATTTTACGATGGCAAAGCAGTAACCATAACATATATAAACTATTCCTATCTAATTATATTTACTTATTTTAAGATACCTTGCTGTGCTGCTTTGTTGACAACTCATGAATGTTTAAGCATTTATTTGCATACTTCGAGAAAATGGAAGGATTGTAATTATACATGGGCTGCATGCATATAACACCTATAAGCATTATGCCCTTGAAAACAATTGACCATTTTTGTGAATGGAAAATGTAGGATTTTCATTTCTATTCATGATTTACCTGAGCAACGAGAGCAAGTTATGACAGATGTGTCCAGCAAAAAAACCGAGGTTTTCCTCTAAGTTGGATACAATTACAACATTTGAGCGTGAGCTGTTTTTTTTGTCCAACGTGCCGCAGATTAAATATGATAATCAGATTACCGTCAGAAACGCGTTCTTTATTTGCGCTGAGTTAAAACGATCAGCTCCATGCTGCGCTTGCATAAACAAAGACGCATATGTGTACAGATGGACGGCTATGGATGCATGTAACGCGAGCACGCATGCGCATATGCGTAACCATGATATAGTTGTAAGTGTACGCAACACGTAAGATCATTCCATACCATATCTGTCAACCCATACGGTTTACCTCTATTCTTGGACAGGGAAATTTAGTTTTCAGGTCCATACGGCATACAGCCGTTTCAATACGGGCTAAACATGTTTTTGTCTATTTGTGCGTGTTTCTCCAATGTGATGGTACTTTATAGAATGAACGTTGATATTTATAAGGGCACGGGGTGACCAATAAGGTCTGAATTGGTTTGTAATAAGGTAGGCACTGATAAGGGGTTGACAGGTATGCCATATTCAGATTCAGACTCGATCGTGTTGTCTACAAGAGTACTGTAATGGCTGATTTTTGTCTTCTCATAACCACTGGGAATATATAGGTGTACCTAGCTCTGCGATCTTACATTTACTTGCAAATTACATCTCTAGCCCTGCCCACTTACCCTTGGGTTGTACCCATCTCAAACGTATATAACCTTTGGCTTCAGTAGCTCTCTCGCTATATTTCTTCATGCCTCAGCAGTCCACCTGCTGTATTTCTTCACCTGAAGACGATTGCTTGTGTTGCGATCGCCGTGCGGTCTATTGACATCGCGGACACCACAATGGTGTGGGTGTAGTGCCGGACCTAGAGGAGCCCGGTGAGCGCTGATTGATAGCGCTAGACGGCACCACATTTGGCGTGCAGTGCCAGCCCGACAGGACAGGGTGTGGGAGTGCCGGGCGTAGGAATGAAGTTACTAAAGGCCATGGCACTCTGGTTGTCCCGAGAAGACACGTGACCAGTTCAGTCTACAAAGTGGCCCCAAGTGGGGGCTAGGGGTGGTCACGTGGTTCGGGGTCCAGATCCTGCTCGAGGATTCTGGAAGGTGGTCGTGGCCAAGGGCGGAGCCGGCCACGCTGCAGAGAATATAAGCCGGGTCCCCCAGAGGGACCGGCGTTGTTGTTCATCCTGAAGAAACCTTCGTCTACGCTCTACGTTCTCCGATCAACGAGTCTCCAACACGTGGACCCAGACCCAAGCTGTTGGTCCCGGTCTGTAGTAGCAGTTACGTTGTAACTAGTGTAGTTAGCCTGGTGGTCACCACCATAGGTTTTTATTTTGTTAGGGGAAATTACCCCTTTGTGTTGGAGTTAAATAAATGTGTTGCCTCCAAGTATACGTCTGCGACTCAGTTGAACCCACTACACATGCAAAGACATGCATGCTTCTCGCCATGCTTTCCATTTGTCTGAGGCTGCAGCAATTTTATGCGACCTTGTCGAAGTTGATTATTAACCTGGATGAGCCTGTCTCTATTGAGCCTTCATGCACAGATGATATTGACCTGGAATTTATTTCTAGTAATTAGATACATTTCCACATTGCTTTATTTGTTCTAATGATTTATGACAGGTATTCCTCATAATGAAATACTATGGCAAATATAGCCTGAGGGTGTTGGCTGATTGCTTTTTTTTATTGAGGGACTGTAAGGGCATTAGTTCACATTGCGGGTAAACAGATGGGACATTGTGACTAACACTGTCCGCTGTTGGCATGCTGGCCCCCAAAAGACGTGGACAGTTCAAAAGCTTTCTGCCAAATATGTGGCATTTCATAACAACCACGACGCTGTGCACAGGGAAGAGCAGTATTCTTCAGGTCAAACTAGTGATGGGCGATCACATTAGGTCAGCCTATTAAACTACGACTGAGCTGTGTTGCTCTTTTTCAGAAGTGATCTGGCCACAAAAAATATAGCTCAACGAATTGGCTCATTGTGTGGAAATGTGTCGCAGCCAAATACTCTAAACGCACGTTGATTCTAATTGTGGAGAGATAAACCAGAGGACTCGGAGAAAAATCCACGCGACCATGGGGAGAACATGCAAACTCAAAATATACAGGCGTCAGGTTCTGGATAAAACCCACGACCTCCTGCATACAGGCGTCAGGTTCTGGATAAAACCCACGACCTCCTGCATACCAGGCGAGGGAGATAACATCTTGCCACTGTGGCGAATCAGAGACATCGTGTACTCTTGACCGCTTCACCGCTTGAACCCAATGCATGCACATCGACTGATTTTTTCCTGGATGTTTCTGTTGAGCGTAGTCACTTTAAGATGTTCTTTGTTCATGTTTGCACCCGAGTCAAGAGCCACATGGCTCACAGGGCTATACCTAATAAATGAAACTAAAATGTGCTATTTTACCTTGCCATTAGTTTAGCGAGTTCATTGCATTTACGCCCCATTCTCTCTTTATAATCAGCAAATAAATAAATACGTGAACAAATATAAAAAAGCATGTTACGTAACACACCATTCTAAAATTGAACGCTGCATCTCTTCTGTGTGATGTGAAAGTGGGTGATTAGTTTAATATTCATAAAAATAGATTTCTAGGATAATTGAAACAGCTTTGTTTGTGGCATTGAAAGGTAAATGCAGAATTTACGATTAAAAAATTCACCTGTAAAGAGATGGTCTTTCTAATAGTGTGTTATATTCTGGCTATAAATAACGTCCATAGATGCAGTGTGTAGATAAGACGACATATTTGCTAAAATAAAGAACAATAAACTCTCTCGTGCCTTTTCGGGTTGTACTTCCAGCAAGTGGAGGGGAACGTTGCACACCTGGTGCAATAAAAATAAATTCCCAGCGAGTAGCCATTCCAGTTCAATATACACTTTTTACTGGTAGGAACCTCCTGGTTACACCAGCCCACAGGGGATTATTGTGTCCGTCCGTCCGTCGTGCAGGGAGGGGCTGGGTGGGGAGGGGCTGGTCACCCCGTGGTGCCCTTATAAAACTCAACGTTTAACCTACTCACGCCGGCTTGTGCCCGCCCTCACAGTCGGGCATATTTGCGGAATACACCACGCCGCCGTTGACCCTGCAGGCCATTGACCGAGCAACCCAACGTTCCTACCAGCTCCCTCCGCAGGAATGTGTTGCAAGGGAGTCCTGGTCATATGTTGACATTGAGTTTTTGTCCACTTAAAGGTTGGCTGCTTTCTCTTGTCTGTCTGTATATGAGACGTTCTGCACGGATTTGTCAATTTACTTGTGAAGGGAAATTCTGCTCGTGAATATTTTTCTGGGCAAATTATTTTACGTCCGTTTAAATTATGCGTTTTTGTTGTGGCGTTGCTTCTCTCTCTCTCTTAAATTAGCCCTGAAAAGCAACAGTGGTGACCGGATCAAGGATGCCTCGGGGACAAGCGACATGGTCCTACCCGAGGGTGAACTCCTTTTGCAGGTGGGTACACAGTGGCGAGATAATAACTACTTTGCCTGATATACAGGAGGTCGTGGCTTCGATCCCGACCCTGGTGCCTGCTGTATATTTGGAGTTTGCCTGTCTCTCTCATCATCACGGTGGCTAGGAGATGTTGACTACCTCGCCTGGTATACAGGAGGTCGTGGCTTCGATCCCGACCCTGACGCCTGCTGCTGTATATTTGGAGTTTGCCTGTCTCTCTCATCATCACGGTGGCTAGGAGATGTTGACTACCTCGCCTGGTATACAGGAGGTCGTGGCTTCGATCCCGACCCTGACGCCTGCTGCTGTATATTTGGAGTTTGCCTGTCTCTCTCATCATCACGGTGGCTAGGAGATGTTGACTACCTCGCCTGGTATACAGGAGGTCGTGGCTTCGATCCCGACCCTGACGCCTGCTGCTGTATATTTGGAGTTTGCCTGTTTCTCTCATCATCACGGTGGCTAGGAGATGTTGACTACCTCGCCTGGTATGCGTGAGGTCGTGGCTTCGATCCCGACCCTGACGCCTGCTGCTGTATATTTTGAGTTTGCATGTTCTGTCTGTGGTCGCGTGGATTTTCTTCCCGGTCCTCTGTTTTTTTCCTCCACATTTAGAATCAACGTGCGTTTAGAGTATTAGGCTGCTATAAATTTCCACGTGATAAGCTGCTTCGTTGAGCTATCATCTGGAAAACCGCAATATAGCTCAGTGGGCCTTACCTGGCAAAATAAAAATAGTTAATAGTATAAAATGAATGATGTTGGACATCATCATTATCATCATCATCACCAACATTGTTTTTAAGTAGCGCTCTAATTCTGTTCCTCAGTGGGGTCTCGCTGCATAGATTTCCGCGGTTGTGCAGCGTACCTCTCCAATGTGTTTTCGGGTTGCACCGAGCGTGTTGTTCGGCATGGTGTCCGACGTTTCGCTCCACGTGCTGGGAGCTTTTTCATGAACTCGGTTCCACTTACTCTGTAAATGATAGTATCAATATGTTTTGTATGCATGTCATTACCTGTTCGCTATGTATATATCAATTGACAGCCTGGACACTCTTGTTAGCAAGGTGTTCTGTCTCAAGGGTTTTTTTCAGACGAAATGAAATGTAAAAAAACTACCGTAAAAAAAGTGTACTAGTAGCTTCTGCAAGAGCAAAACATTGGACGTCATGCCAAATAACATGTGGTAAAACCGTAGAATTATTGTTATGCTTGTTTACTCAAGAAACCCTCACTGAGGCTGAAGACTCTTTTTTTCAGGAAGGTACTGCTGAGTTTTCACAGCAGGGAGTGATGTTTGCGATGTGTATTGTCATGGCAACTGATTTATTTGCAGGTAAAGATGTTTTGTCAACACCAGTTACATTGTTTTGTGTGTGTTTTTGTTATTTGAAAGTGACGATTATCTGAACTGGGTTTCTCCTAGGTTGACTGAACCTCAAATGAGTACCTTTCGCAATGTATAAACATTGCCACTAGGGAGACATAGGCGGTCGGGCGTGTTTTGCTGGTCACCCACTGCCTCGTCTGCCGTGCCGGCCTTCATAGGTGTTACTCGCTAATAGCACTTGATCCTGAAAGTCTATTAAGGCTATATTGGGATCTTTGTCTTTGTGATTTGGACGAGGCCTGAGTGGTTGGCTCTGTCCGTCAATGGGGCAAGATATTGATGTCAGCACCACGACCCTGATTCCCATCGGCACTCCCCCAGCCACTGATTGGCTTTGGGTTTTTAGTGTGGAAAGGGATCCCACTGATTCTTTACAGAAAAGGCATGCCATAAAACTGCTGCAGGAATCAGTCAGAGTCGCTGTTGCGGAATTTCTTGTTAACATTGGTAATCAACCAAAAAACACCTCATGAATTGGGCCCCAAAAGTCTGCGTGTTACTTGCCTAGGTCTCCTAGAGCAAGCAAAATAAATATCCTTTGCTGGCAAATGTGTGTGTCCCTTCATCACGCCTTGCGCACTGTCCATGGAAGGCTGGCCCTTCATTGACGTGATCCACTCTGACAAGTGTTCTGTAATGAACAAATGGGGAATTCCATTATGCGGCTACAGTATTTACATCGCCCAAGGCCTGAAGCGCTGCTATAACAGACACAGGACAGCACACCGCTTGCCTTTGCGCATGGGGGAAATAACTTCAATGGGTTGTCGGGTTATGGATAAGAACCATCCCTCTCCAAGCCGCTCGCTGTCAAGTTTCTCGACATCGAGTAAGCCGCTGTGGACTCTGTTTGAGTGTGTAATGTATGTGTGCTAATGCATATCATACGAGGCTTGTTGTGGGACTCCTTAACAGAGAACGTTTACCATTCCACCGTGCCTTGAAAGTGCACCGGGCTTGGCCATGGTAACACGCCTCGGTAATATCACTTGCCACTGAGTGGCACATGATGGCCGTTGTATTGGAGAATGAGTGGACGCTTTGGGCTTCAGCTCTATAGAGGTTAAGTTCATCATCTGGATAATTTGTTTTGGCGTCATGGAAGTAAATGGATATTGCTTTATTGGAGTATATTGCTGTTATAACTTTCCATATGATAAGCCATTTAATCGGCTATCATTTGTGGCTAGGTAGCTTCTGAAAAAACGTTATATAGTTCAGTGGGCCTTACATGGTAAGATAAAATAAAAAATGTTTATAGTTGTTGTATAGCTTACTGTGGTCACTGGCTTTGTTCATTGCAGTGCCACTGATGAGTCAGTTGAGTTTACTCCAAGATAGCTTCTCAAGTTCAGCATTCTGTAATTTTGAGCATTCGTAAATATTATGACTGGTTCCATCTTGTTTCATATAAATACAGCAATGCATGAAACTTGGACTGTGTTTAAATATTGCCAATTTAATAGCTTGGTATACTGAACATTTGTAAGTTTATCAATTGATTATTTTATCAGGACGAAAAATTAAGAACTACATTATTGTAGTTCCCGATTACAAACTTAACATGCACATTTATTTTGTATTTGATGTACAGATTTTACACTATATATAGACCTAGCTATTTAAGAACCTTATCAAATGTGTTATCTGAATTATATATGTAATGACAGTTCCACACCGAGTTTAATGAAAGTAGTGGAAGTGGGAAAGTATGCGCACTCTCACTCAGGTGATCATTCACAGTAACATTTGAAGATGTTTTCTGAAAATTGTATTCGAGAACTCAATGTTCATTAATGGAGAGAACACTTGCCACATCAGAGTTGCTGACAACAGTTATGATTTAAAAAATCTATGAAAATTAACTCAAGGAAATTATTGAATAACTCAGCCGTTGTTCATGGCACCTTGAATGTACGAAAGTTTTGGCTGGTGAGAAGTATTTTTTTACCATCACAACTTACCCATGCAACTAACGATCAATTAATGCTGCTATACTGCTAGCAAGATGAAAATGTACGCTTTTGAGATGTGGTCCTGATGAATATTTTTGCACATCTCCTGCATGGAGACGTAGATGAACGCTTGCCTAAGAAATATTGGCGAGATGCAGACCCTACTGTAAAAAATCTAAAGGTGCAACTTTGTGTAATTTTTGGTATGTAAAAAATATGGGACGTAACCTCGAGAAAACTTTCCTTGAAGGAAGGGTTGCAGGTCATCGTATGAGTGGAGATGGATAGATGGCACGCATAAGATCATTGGGAGATCGGCTATTGGGTTCTCGAATCTAGCAACGGATCAATGAGGCTTCCAAAAATGTTGCTAAAACGTCACAACATTTCACACTTAAATAAATGGATTCACGTAATAAATATTTATTGAAGACACATGTTCACATTCATAGACTCACTTGCGTTTTGTTTTAGGAACAGCAAGTCTGTGTTTCTGGATCGTATGTTATTTTACTGATAAACACTCACAATATAGTGATAACCTATACGTATGTAACTTCTTATGTAAGCTTCTGATTGCCCAGTATTGGCCATACATTTGATGACCTTCGCATATTGGCACTGTGTACCGCATGCAATCACTGTCGAAGTACAACTTTAATGGACGGATGCAAAATATGTGAAGGATGATGAACGGTGAAGTCCCTGACAGATGTTTTCTTTTTTATTGGGAACAGTCTGAGGCTGTGCATCAGGCATTTGTTTGTTTAGCCAGCTTACCCTACCCCATCTGTCGGCTGAACTACTGGTGAACTGGATGTATGTATCAAGAGCTTTCTGCTTAGTTCTAATCTCATAACCGAATCTCTGATATCGCCGAGCCATCGGCCCCCTGGTGTCAATCACTTACTCGTGTACGTGGACGTTAGGAGGCGTCATGAAAACGCACCGCCATTTTCCACGAGGCACTGTTTGTAGTGGGACGGGACATGCACTATTATTGTAGATGTAATTTATTGGAGTGGTCCGTGTCAAAGCAGCATTGTTTGTGGCATAAAAAGGGGAAGGTATGATAGGGTTTGTCATAGCTGGGGTGGTGGGAGGGTAATTGTGAAAGGCGGTGACAGCTTATGGAGACCTTCATCCAGCAGTAGATTGATCATGGCTGGTGATTGATAATGAGGCGGTCTGGCAGATCTCTCTTAAATAACACACATTCATTCCAATTATTGGTTCTTCGGTAAAGTCACGTAGAAGGGAAATAATAAAATAATACAACACATTCATTCGTTTATGGAGAACAAAGGGGGGAAAAAACTCAATCATATATCAAATATGTACTACAGTATATGGTGACATGGATACTATCCATATATAATGATGATTTTTTTTTTAGTAATACATTGTAGGACAAAATATAATTAGTTCTTCTGAAGAACGCAACACGTTGTGGAATAGTCGCGGAAGCCCTTTGGGATAGACTTATCCTATAACTGGTTACCAGTTGATTAATGCTGAAAAGTATACAAAGGTAAAGAGGCAGCCCTGAAATTGCCTGCTCATGCCACTGCTGGCAAATAGTGGACCCCACTAGAGAGACCCTCTCGAGAGGCACATTTAGACAGTATTTTGTCTAAAGCGGGCCAGAC